CATCTTTCGAATTCATCCTCTAGTACCACTGTTCCATCAATCCTTCAGCCTACCTTAAACTGACAGTCCATTAATCCTACCATTTTTTTCACTCTCCCTCACACCTCTTCCTTCCCCCCTTCCCCAGCTTAAAACCCACGGTCAGTCATCATGAACATCCTTAGCACACACCTCCAGTTCCTTTGTGGTTTGTCCCCTTTGCATGCTCACTTGGCAAAAGCCCAACCCTAATGAGACCCAACCCTCCACCTCCTCTGTGTCTGCTGCCTCCCAGCTGCTTGCTCAAGGCAGGAGAGAAACACACAACCAGGAGGACTGGTCTCTTGTGAGACAAAGACCTTAAGTCAGCCCTTAATGGCGGGCACTTTTACAGTTGTGGTGACGTGTGTCTAAATGACTGGCCAGAACATAAAACTGAATGAGATAAGTTCTATAACTTCACAAGTGCTTCCCAAGACTAAGCCTAGCTTATACATAGATTACTAATCATTGGCTGAAACTGTATTAATTGATAGGGGCTATTTCTCCTACTCTCCTTAAGCTCTCTTTGTTCTTCCTAGTGACATATGAAGCCTGCTTTTCGAATCAATGTCCCCACCTTCGCTAAATTCATAAATAGAGAAACTCAAGTGGCTACTACAGAAGTGTGAGTAGTCTTTCCTGGCCAACAGTGTTGCACACAAATGTCATCAGAAGAAAACAGGCCGGTGGCACCCTGTTTTCCAAGTTGACACTTGGAGGCAACCTGTCCTCACAGCAAGAGCATGTTTACCCTCAGCCTCTCAGGCTCAAAAACCTAATGTTTTCAGGTCACCAAGAGCAAGTATAAGCTCTCAGTGTAAACTCACAGTACTCAAACTTGTAAACAGATGTATACATCCAGAATCCAACTACAAATAGGTCTATTACAAAGCCTGCAACATGGAAATTAGTATAACCACTATTCCTCTGCTATATAGCAAGCCAAATCATAAGCAGAAGTTTGGCTGGTGAGTTTATAATCAAAAGGAGAGAAATTACCTTAATTGAGTGTATGTTGGCATGAGTTTAAGGTACCCAGGGCCTCCCATGCCGCGATATCAATAGCCTTGCCAATAGGACTGGAAGTTCATCACCAGGTGACCCCCTCACTCCCTCTCCTTGACATAGTGTTTGCATGAACCCTTGTCAACGTTGGCCTCTTTGATCCTCCTTTTGTAATAATGAAAATATCTCTTACAATAACATCAATTCATTCAATAGTCTCATAGACCTAAAACCATTCTGCCTACAATAACTTGACATAACTTTGATTTTTCATTCATTGTTTTCATAGGTGAATTCTCAGAGTTCAATTGTACACCATAAATTTAAAAATTCTTGGGAATCCCATTCTGCAGCCTCCACAGGACATCAGTGAGGGTTCCAGAATAAGTAGGGAGCAATTAAAACTTGAGGTCAGTTTGGGAGATAAGAAAAATCAGGTAGGATGCTTACGATACTTCATCTCCCTTCTTCACCTAGGTACAAACCTGGTACCTCTTGATACTTGCCAGAAAACCGATCACAGAGAAAAATTCAATTAATGGTAGCAAAGATCCCTTCAAATCGCTCATATGTCTCTGATATTTTTTTCAAAGTGTTATCATCACAGTGAAATGTTCCTATTTAATCCATGTCATCCTTGTGCACCAGAAAATCTGTAACAGCAAGGAAACGATTTTATATTATATGGGCTTTTCAATTCAAAGCAGTCTAAACCATCTTTATCACCAAGAGCATTTGTGATATCCATTTTACTGCTGTGTAATAAGCAAGATATCAAAGATATTTCCTCTGCTTTGTCTTTTCTGCACTCTCAATTTCTTTTCTTTGAAATCCGGTCAAAAGAACATAGCTTACTGCCTCCAAACTCATTAGTACAATAAGATAATTTTCACAGAAAGCAATAGCTACTGATGGAATTCAAACTACTGATGTCTATATGAAGATCATATTTTTCAACTAAGAGTCTTTTCTTACATTAATCACGGAATACCAGTTAATTCCTCTGAGCATTTAGATTTTTTTACCCTAAGTAATTAACTCCTCTGACCCTCCTTAGCAGTGTGTCAGATGTGCTTTCTCATACTTGCCACACACAGATGCAGATCTCAGCCCCAGCATTCTGACTCCTAAATGGAGACGTGCACGCCTCAGCTGAGACCCCCTTCTTTAGAGGCTTCCTGCACTTAGACTCCAATTTCGGAAGAAAATGCCACCAAGGTGATCTTCACCATCTGTCCAGCGTTTCTGGGGAGGCATCGTGGGCACATGTTGGAGGGAGGAAGACTTGACGTTTCCCTCACGTTGGTCTGTGCTATTTTTTCCACCCACAAAGCCAGGAAGCTGCACAAATCTCTGGCAAGCAGCCACTTTCAGTTTTCTCAGAAGCCAAGAGAGTGGTTCCCTGTATTTTAAAAAAGGCAAATGCTGCCTTATTCGACCTAATCATTACTTGGAGAACAATCGCAAAAGAATCCAGCCTACTGCCTTTTATGCCTAAAGAATAAGCCTGGGCGGCATTCTAAACGCTTCCACTTCTCTTTGCCAGAAGACAGAAAAGTCGTTTCTCTTTGCCAGAAGACAGAAAAGTCGTGTAGAAAACGGGCTCTCCACCAGGGGGTCCACCCACCTGCTGACACTCTTGAGTATTAGAACGTGTTATTTCTACTCCATCCTGGAACTCCCAACCGGAATGTGGCTAAACCCTGGTACCAGGTGACCCTCCTAGAAAACTACAGAGTTGTCGTCCACTTCAAGCAGGATGCATCGTCCACTTGTAACAGAAGCAGATCTGAAATCTCTGACTGTTTCTTCTGCCATCAACGACTGGGGTTCTAGCGCTGATGTTGAAGTGTGGGCATTTGGAGAAGGCCTGGGTGTGGTGTCAAAGAAAGAGGATTGGGGCACTGACGTGAAAGAGGATTTGAAAAAGAGAACTCTAAGAGCAAGGAAAGAAGTTCCCAAGGGAGGTGAACAGGGACCAAAACTAAACCTTTTATGTAGAAGTGTCTGGGGAAAAGTTACTGAAAATTCCCTTTGCAGTGGATCTTAGGTAGTTATTTTTCCACTGATACTTTAAGATACATGGCTGTGACTTTTTTTTAATATTCCGCTATTAAGTTTACATTTTAACCCGATCTTCCCAAAATAAAGTTGTTGTCCACTCTTATTTCCAAGAGGCAATTTGTTGTTAATTTATTTATTTAAAAAACTGTATTGAGTAACTGCTCTCTGTGAAACACTTTGCTATATGCCATGGTAGATGGGAGACTCATAAAACACTACAGATTTTATCGATATATTGAGATCATTAAAATATGATAAGAAAACTCAACCAGGAATAAGAAAACAGAAGTGAGAAGTGTTCTTAGCACAATCCTTTTTTCTTTGTAAACCTTGTCTTCTTAATTTATAAACTAAGAAAATATGTTAGAAGGTCTCTAAATTTGTTTATAGGGTTAACATTCCTTCATAGATCTTTCTTTCTTCTCCCTTACTAGCTCTGCTTTCTTTAGGGCCCTCTTTTTTTTTCCTTCCATAAAACACTTTCTCCTTCTGACCCTATATTAGTTCATTGGGCAATTTCATCAAATTCCCAAGTTCCCATAACTTTGATTTCCACTTATAGACTTATGATTCCCAATTGTAAATAGATAAATGATAGATAAAGGACAGGTAGATAGATAGATAGATGATAGATAGATAGATAGATAGATAGATAAATAGATAGATAGATATAAATGAGCAAACTTATCTCCTGGTCTCCAAACCTGATGTTTAGCGTTCTACCAAATGTCTCCAACTGTATGTCCCAAATTCATCTCACACTTTCGTGTGTGAAATTGAATATCTTCTATTTTTGTATCTATTGCAATAAATAATAATATCTACTCAAATACCAAAACCCAAAACTGGGAATTTGCTTCAATAGTTTGTATCGCCATCCAGTTGGAACCCAGAACAGTCCATTCTTCCTTTTCCATCCCCAAGCCTTCAATCCATCTCCCAAGCCACCATCAGAGTGACCTTTCCAAATTCCAGTGACGGTAATACACTCCTTTTCTAAGTTTGAAACATTTAACCACAAGTTTGTTGCTACCGCTACCTTCTTCAAACCCACCATTGGTCCCCCATCCCCAGGTGTGCTTCTCAATCTGGAATATACATCCCTCCAGGAGTCCTGGCACTGTGCCAGGGGAACTGAACACCTCAGGATAACATCTTCTGGGAAATTCAATTTTACTTGATGGCAAAAAATTTAAAATATGATTTCAGTATTGAAACCAGTAGAGTACACAGTAGAAAGCAAAAATATGAAAGGAGACGTCAAATAAATTTTTTTGCTTGCAATGGCCCACTTCAGACTATTCACTAAAAGCCTGTGGTGGGAGGATATTCTTCTTTCCTCTTTGGAATACTTTGGAACAGACAAAATGTTTGAGAAGTACTGACAATGAAGAATAGAACCAATAAACAACTAGGTCCTACTGTATAGCACAGGGAACTACATTCAAAATCCTGTGATAAACCATAATGGAAAAGAATATGAAAAAGAAGGTATATATAACAATCACTTTGCTGTACAGCAGAAATTAACACAACATTGTAAATTAACTATACTTCAATAAATTTTTTTAAAAAAGAATAGAATCAAGACCTCTTCTTGGTATAGCACTTGCAATTCATCTAGTCCACATCTATTATCTCAACAACCCCATGTTCTTCTCCCACTTCCCTCCTACCCAGGGCTCCAGCTATAACAAGCTATAACAAGTTACCTTTATCTCAACAGGCTGTGTTGTTTCATGCACAAAGCCATGCGTTAGACAGGGGTATAGAATATGGGAGAACAATGAGTCATTCATGACGGCGTAAGCTTAGGGGTTGGGAATAGAATGAAATGAGTTTGGAAGAAAGTGGGGAAGAATTATTGGGGCCAGCTTGTGAAGAATATTGTCTCCCACAGTGAGACTTACCTTGTAGGCAATGAGGAGTCCCTGAACGTTTTGAGACAATGTCAGGATCACCTGTCTTTCAGAAGTGAGAGCTCTAAGCTATAGCACTACCTCTAATGGTAACATGGTGTATGGCTCAAAGACTGGAGTGGAGAATTCGGGCGAGAGTCCAAGTGAAAGATAAAATTCTTAACAATCACTGAAGAGTTGACCCGTGGGAATATAAGTGACACTTTTCAGTCTAGGGGTTTGAGGTTAAAAACAAAAAATTCAACCACAACAGGAACTGCGATAATGATTCACTTGTTAAACATCCGGTAGTAGATGTTTCAGATACCCCTATTAGTGAAAGCACTTCAGCTTTTCTAACTCCAACATATATAAATTAAAAACAATGAGACAGATGACAAGATGTGCCATTTTCAGGCCTCTTTGGCATTGTATGTTCATTCTGTTCCCGTTGGTAAGGATGCCCTTATCACCCTGGACCTTATTCCACCTGTGGAACCCTTAACTCTATTGCAAAACCCAGGCCAAAAGATACCCCCTTAAAGAATGCTTTGTCATTGCCACCTGCTGTGGTTGCATCAGGAGCCTCAATCTTTATGTGCCCAAAAGTTCTATATCCACATGGTCCAGATGGCCTCACCTCGCTGTAATACAAGTATGTTTCCGCATGTTCATCTCCACTTCAGACTGTGAGCTCCTTAAGAGTAAGGTCACACCTTCTTCCCCTTTGAATCACCACCATCCGGCCCCAGGACTGGCACATGTTAAACACAGTTAATCAGATGAGTACATCGAAGAATTAAAACTCAGAAAGAAACTTTGTTACACCTCGTATATACACATATATGTCAAAGAAAATGCAAGGATGTGTAAGCTCATTTCAAAATAAATGCCTATCCTACAAGACTAAATGTACCTTCTATGAAATCTGACTGTTCAACAGAGAAATATTTTCTATAAGTAGTAAGATCATTAACAAACATTTTCTATTTGAGGGAAAATTGAGTCACAATCGTGCAAATGTGCAATTTAAGTTGTCTAATTTAATTTTCAAATAACATTCTGAAAAGTAAGCAGAAGAGTTTTAATATTCCTACTCTAGAGATTCAGTAGCTGAGAAGCAGAGTGGATGTGTATACCCGAATTTTGCTGCCAACCTTCTCTTTCGTATATGCTGTTAAGAAATTTGTACTTAAAACAAAATGCCAGAATAACAATATTTAAGGGGATGAATATAAGTTTGATCTTTTGTCTCTACTTTCATGGATATGCCTTTCCTGCTCCAAAGAAGAGAAATACTTCCCGTGAAAGGATAACTTTTTTAATTGTAAAAAGGAAATAGAAATAAGTTGTTATTAATAGATGAAGATCTTACCTCACCTGTACTACTTCACAAATATATATAGACAGGGAGAAAGATCAATTATAACAGATGTATGTATTTTGGTCAAAGATGTTTTCTAACTCTTTTCCTCTTTATTTCTCCTCTGTCTTTTGTAATTGCAGCCACTGAGATACTACATCACTTCGAGTAATAAATCTAAATCATAACTACTAAACTTTTAAAATGAACATAGGGAAAGGCAGTTTCTATATAACAACTATAACATTTATTGAGTACTTCTTGTGCAGAACAACTGAGATAAACTCTTTACATATGTTATTTAATATAAACAATATTTAATATAAACAATATTCTGGTTTCCCTTACCAGCACCTACTACAAATAGTTGCATGTACTTTGTAACATGAATATAATGCCTTGGTGATTTATACCAAGTGTCAAAACAAGGGGAATGAAAGCCTGATTTTTGCTTTAGTCAACAGGGTTAAAATAGCCTCTATGGCCCTCAAAGCTGAAATGCATCTGCCTTCATGAGTTTGGTGGTAAACACCCCCAGTAACTGTCTCTTTAAAAACCAGGGAACAAATGGTCATTTAATCCATTTTGGTTTCTTGCATCTAAACTATATTATGTCACATTTGAAGATTTTTTAAATGGGTATATGTGTATTTAAATACATATACATACACACTCTATAATACTCAGGAGAAGACTGAGACCTACCTCTGTCTCCAACATTACATGCCATAAATGTAAACCTTTGCAGAAATTCCAAGTAAAAGAGACAGATATTTCAGTTAAAATCCAAAATAGGCATATATATGTGTATATATGTAGGTAAAATCCAAAACATATATATATATGACACACATATGTGTGTCTATATACATATATATATAGACATATATATTTGCATTATATGTATATAATGGTCTTGAGCTGTGAAAAGAAATTTTAGAAAGATACCTCTGAAGCATTTTTCAGAATTCCGAATAAGAGCAGCAAAACCTGAAAAGCTTAAGTAAACATACTGAATGGTTTTAAAATGTATGTATAGCCAAACAAATTAATGACTTTTCCTTTTTTGCATTATGACTTCTCCTTTCCTCCAGTAACCGTTCTTATTTCTGGCATAATTCTGTTAGCTTTTGAAATCTGTACAGCTTTTAAAGGTAGCCTCATACATTAAGGATTGGATAGTATCACTTATTGGATATTTACAGTGTGACACGCAGTGTTTTATGTGATTTGCCAACAAAACCTCATTTTAATGAGGTAGTTGTTCTTATACATGCTTCACAGATGATGAAAAAATAAATCTACTCGCTTAGGTTCACACAACTTTTATAATTTGCGTAGTTCAGCTATGAACTCAGATCTTTCCAATTCTAAAGCTTCAATTGTTTTATTTCTCTGTCTTCAAATAGAATACTTAGCCAGCTGAAGGATCTCAGTATACTTTTTAAAGTCATTTTTAATTGAATATTATCATGTTTTTTCAAACTACAGTGCGTATTTAGAAACAAAGGTATTGCACTTAATTATTACAGATGCCAAATCTCCATGGGCAAAATATGCTTCCAGAAGAACTGCTAACAATAGTGCTTTTTTCCATTGCTTACACAATACTCTCCCCAAGGCACTCTTACGTTCTTCTGGCTGTGGATATGTGAAATAGGCCTCTGCAGGTCCTGTTGCCCACCGCAGGAATACTTCTCAGGGTATGTAGTGAATGGAGTAGGTCAAGGTTGCCAGGCCACGGGATCAGATCGATAGAGGAACCTTTAACAGGTTGCAGAGCCTTGTATGAAAAGGTCTTGTCCCACTGATGGCTGTAGCTATTCATGTATTCAGGTATTCATGTGAATACCAAAGGAGTAGCTTCATCAAAGTGTGAGTCTGTGATTTGTTCATTTGTTTTGTTTAATGAGTGATCCTTTGTCTATAGGCCAGGTTCACAGTGGTCTAGTCAAGTACCAGGGAATCAAAACTCCCTGACACTAAGCAGAGGAGCCCTGTTGTCTTTGACAATGATCTTGGTGAGACTGTGTACTCTGTCATTTAGATCTGCCCCTGGAAAGAGAAAATGTGATTCTATAGCAATTGTTGTCAGCCTACCTGGAATGGCACAAATAAAACTTCTGAAGGCCTTTCGCTTTAAAAAGTTTCTGAAACAGTGTTGTAAAAATACTTTTGTTTGTGTTCAACTATCAGAGGTTAGAAACCCTCAAATCTGGACAGGACACTCTTCTTAGAATGTAAAGAAAATTTCTCAAAAGGTTTTACTGGGCATCTTTTAGAGTCCTAGAATTATGTAGAGATGTGAGAGCTTGAATGGGTATGAAGACATAACAGGAACTAGTTTCTTATCACAGTCTAGTTCAAGCCATGGGATAAACTTACATGAGGCAATAAACTATCAAGGTCAATTTTTTGTGGCAGAAACTGAAACTGCCAAGTGGATACATAACAGGGTCCCTTTCAAAGGATCATGAACGTCTACTTGACCACAGTTATCAATTTGGAAAGAGTAAAGCCGTTCAGAAATGTATTTCCATATCATCTTAATCGTCTGCACACTTTGGAAAGGTAGAGCTTTATTGTTGCTGCTGTCACTATTATCTTCGTTGCTTAATAAGCCATTCTCTACAAAGCCCATAATGCAATCAACACTGCCTCCATCCTCCTTTCCACTCTACCCACAACCTCTTCCAATGTTAACATTGGTCTGAAGGAAAATGACTGCTTACAAGGTAAAGTAAATTCGTTTATGTTACTCGCAGGTCTTATCACATTGTGAATTCATCTAACACACACAGCTTCTAGAATTTTAACATCAATTCTTGCTATTATCAATTCAGACCAAAAAATTAAATTTCTTTGGAATATTTAATAAGTTAGATGCTTTCTGCCAATTTTTCTCCAGAGTATACAGACCTAATGTAATAATGAAAACCAATAACCAAATCAGATTTCCTAGACAATAGACCATTTTCATTCACAGATTTAAAATTTTTGATTGAGACGATTTGAAAGCATATAATAATAATTTCTATTTCCGAGGTTCTATATTGAATGATGTGTACTCTGAGGATGGTATGCAGAAAGGGGCTCTTTGTTAGGAGGGTCCAAGCTGGCTGCCAAGCTTCCATGTCCACTCTACCTGGTTTCCCGTAATTTCAAATTTTGGTCTTCATAGGACATATTTGCAAAGATGACATATATTGTAGAAACACAACTTGGCATAGACAAGCCTGAAGACTCCCAAACCTTTATGCAAAATATGACATAACAGGAAAAGCATGCCCTTTGGAGGGACAAGGTTGAGTTCAAGGCCAAGCTTCCAATATGACTGTCCTTATGACCTTAAACAATCCTTTAACCTCTCTGGATCTCAGTTTATAAGTTTGCCTTACCTCTCTGGATGATGGTTTTGTTTAGCAAATAAAATGATGCGAAGTTGAGAATGAAATAAGGCATTGTTACAAATATCCAAGAGGTTAAGGGAGGATGTGGCGAGTGATTCACATATTTCTTCCTCCTCTTTCTTCTCTTAGAGTTTAATGCTTAGCAAAATATTTATTGAGTGTCTGCTAAATTCCACTGATTAACATCAGAGATTCATAGATAAAGCAACTTGGTCCTTGCCCTGAAGTAGTAACAATGTGACATGACCTGACTTTCATTTACAAGGATCACTCTGGCTGCTGTGTTGAGAA